TTCCTTGAGATATAAAAAATTAAAGTTTATTCGCTGGCTATTACCTTGGCTTAAACGCATAAAGTAATACTCTAAGATAGATCAATAATCGAGGGACAGAAGCACAATATATTGGATTTAGCAGTTGAATTTGAACTGATTGTACTTAGCAGCTTTACTCATCAAACAATTTTTGACAATTATATTTTTATATTGACGTATTTTTTTGCTTGCCAACTGCGGAATCGCCTACTCCTTCGAACTGCATCAAAAGGTCAATTTTGCCAAATAACGGATTTAGCAGGTTTACACTCTAAGCCGACGATATGTAAAGTCAAAACTTTAAAGCCATTTTTCTCGAGTGTTGATTTTTTGAGTATTGGCATTATTGAAGTAAATGAGCGGACATGTACATATATATGTACCCTACCGGCCAAACCCGATCTTAGGACAAACTATTTTTGTAACTCTCATCTGTCCAACACAAGCTACGCAGTCTGCAAGATTGTTGTATCCAATTTGGTTTCGGTTAGACAGATATATCGCATTAGGTAGAACTAGTTTAGCCTGGGGCAAAACTAGTTTGACCTAAGGTCGGATTTTACCGGTAACATACATATACAGACATATATACATTGGCACATGTAACTTACCTAGTCTTTATTTGACCTGCCACAAAAAATGCTAATGAAAACAATTTTCCAGCAAAATTGTGTAGACAGCGGATTTTGCTCTTGTAACAAAATGTTATTTGAGATAGTGGATTTTTCAAAATGAGAATATAATCCCATTAAAGCTAAATTTTAAGTTTAACATTATTGTCATGGCTAAAAGATAAATAAGAGCTCACGTTACCATCAAAAACTAATTTTCATCAAAATTGCAGACAGAGGGTATTGAACATACATAAGCCCTCGATATTCAATAAATGCTTACATAAAAAACCAATACACCAGCAAGCTTTCAGCGTCAAATGATTTCAGGGTAAAATTGTCAAAACTCCCAATAAACTTAAACGAACGAAATCATCAAAACAATTTCAGTCCTCAAATAAAAGCTAAAGGAGCATAAAGTTTGCATTGTGTTTTCTTGTTTTCGTAGACATTTGAAGAGCAGTGGTGCCGCGAAATTTTTTTCCACAGCAAGGCTGCCGCGGTGAAAAAAGTTTGGGAACCTCTGCTTTAATTAATAGTCATTATGAATATTAATCATTATTTAACAGGTCTGGTATAATTGATAACGTACTCGATTTAATGGTTTACAATATACCCAAATAAAAGTTATATTTTGTGCACTTTATTGTATTAAACTGTCCAAGTCAATAAAACAGGGCATGAATAAATTGTTTTGTACTTGGTACAAGTCTGGTCATTTTCGAACCAGTTCGGTTTCTGTTAAGAAATTCTAGTTGTAACTAGTATTTTTCCTGACTAGTTTGGGGTTTCACTGCAGGGCATATATGCATGTGCGTATGTTGAAAGAGAATACAAATAAATTCTGATAAAATACAATATTAATGTATCAGAATTTCGTTGAATTATTGATGTGTATACATCTTTGGTTTCGGTAGGGGTAAAATTTGCGAAGATGTAACGATGCTAGACAGAGACGAACACATAGGGCCCTATGCATTAAACAAGTTAAAAATTGGCGACGAGAAATAATTAATAATAATAATAGATTGGCGCTTACACATATGTTTGTGTTTGGCCGAGCTTCTCCTCCGATTTTTGGCGTGCGCCTTGATGTTGTCACACAAAGCGGAGGGACCTTCAGTTTTACGCCGACCCCGAACGGCGATTGTATTTTTATGAGAAGCTGTTTTTCATGGCAGAAATATACTCCGAGGTTTGCCATTGCCTGTCGAGGGACGACCGCTGTTAAGAAAAAACCTTTTTCTATATTTTTTACGATGTTGCTTTGACCAGGGCTTGAACCCAGGCGTTGCGGAGTGCTGCTTACCACTACACCACAGCGGCCGACGAGAAATAATTGCTTTAAAAAAAAATTCTTCAACAAATAAAAGCTAATTTTTCTATTCTTTATTATTATTATTATTTATTATTCTTCTTCGTTTTAACTGCTCAACTATAAAGCAAAATGGAAAACAGTAACGGAAGAGTGGCAAAAAACAAAAGTTTATGCTTACATTATATTGTGAGAAGCTTTATTGAAAAAAGACAAATATACACTGCCGGAACAAAGTATTGGAACAGCAAATTTTTCACAATATATGCAACAATTTTTATTCTAATATTTTTCTGCCAATTTTGTATAAAAATATGGTTCATTCAACAAAAAAAAAAACATTAAAATATAATTCCTAAACTTTGTGCAAAACTCGCGAAAATTCAGCAAATTTTCATCAAAATTTTCAACTTTGTAATCAGATTTTTTAGAATTTTTTTGAGTATGCTGTTTTGCAGCCCATTAAATTCTACACCTTTTCAAGTTCAAAATGAGAAAATATGAGATTGTAATTGGAAAATGTAAGACTATATTGAGAAACTGTAATTTTTAATGGGAATGCGTAAATTGAAATTGAGAAATGTAAGTTTAAAATGAGAAAATGTAAGTCAAAATGGGAAAGTGTAAAATTATTTGGTTGGCTGGGTAGGAAGACTCATTGAGCGTTGGCAAAACATGGGGAATAATACGCGGGATTTGGAAATCGTCTGCGACAATGCCCAATGTCACTCTTCGATAGAAAGGAAAGTGGCGGACAATTCGGGAGGAGAAGCCACTGTTTTGCGTCTAGGTCCTTATTCCCTAATGTTAAATCCAATAGAGAACATTTGGGCTAAAGTTAAAATGGAAGTAAAAGCGAACCTGCGTGTGCCAAATGTTCATCCCTCCGGACTTTGCGAACAGAGATTACAGTATTTGGAAACAGTTATAGATAACGCGAAAATAACAATAACTGGAGGAGATTTCGCAAGGGCTGTACAGCACTCAACTAATTTTCATACAGACGCACTTGTATTAAATAATATGCATGTTGGGGTGTAATGTTCCTTGGTCACATCTTTGTTTACTTACGTTGATAAATGTTGTGTTTAATAAAATTTGATTTTCAGTACCCTACAAAATCGCATTTCAAATTTATATTATCTCATTTTGAATCTATTTTTTTCTCATTTTGAATTTACTTTTGCTTATTTTGAATTTTCACATTCTCAATATGAATTTACATTTCTGAATATCAAGTTATAAATTCCCAATTCAATTTTACGCTTTCTCATTTGGATTTATATTTTCTCATTTTAAACTTACACTGCTCAATTTCAATTAGCTCATTTCAATTTACTTTTTTTCAATATAATTTTACATTGGGTAGGTTCAGAAGGTGCAGAAGTTGAGCGCAACCGTTGCTAAAAAATCAATGATCGGAATGCGTCTTCTGAACGGCTTGATACATTAGCTGTCAAATTCAAAACACACAACACGTTGTCTCAAATGATCCGAAAAATATTACGATCATCTAACACGCAACTGTTGAGTTGATCAGAAGTACAAAACAACGCGTTCAGAAGGTGCAATCGCAACAGTTACTGAGCTGTTGCGCCTTCTGAACGTGCCCATTTTCTCATTACGAACTTGAAAAGGTGTAGTAAAAAAATTCAAGTTCGGAGTTGGTCAAATATCGCGTTGATTTTTGAGAATTTGTTTTGTTGAAGGTGTTTTGCATTTTTTCCATATAAAGTATTTTCGAAAAAAATTTGTTGTATGGAAGAGACTGCATGAAAAAAAATTCTAAAAATCAACGGTAATTCCTAGCTACTTAAAACTTGTACTGATTAAATTGATTGGGCTACAAATCTGCATACTAAAAAAAAATCTAAAAAATCTGATTAGAAAGTTGAAAATTTGCTCAATTTACACAAAGTTTAGGAATTATATTTTTATGTGTTTTGTTGTAGAATGAACCATATTTTTATACGAAATTTGCGGAAAAATATTAGACTGAAAATTGTTGCATATATTGTGAAAAATTTGCTGTGCCAATACTTTGTTCCGGCAGTCTATATGGTTTCTTAAATCGGTTTACTATAGCTTTATTGAAATTTAAAAAGAAAAAATATTTAATACACGTTGTCTGGTAGATACGCTTTAAGCAGAGATTCCTATCACACTGTCTTCCAAAAACACTTTATTTTCACTTAAGGTTTCAGTACTCCCAAATTGTCCATCGAATTATTTATAATAAAATTGCTAATGCTGCTTTGTAACACACTTACTAAAAAGTCTTACCCATTGACCTCTGTTAACTTCCTGAAAGGAATACGGATTTTCTTGAAACTAATTTGATACAAAGAATATACATACGTATATACAAAGCTCTATTCACTTTGATCAAAAAATCCCGAAAAATACTCGCAAAACTTTTGTAAGTCGCCTCGCTGTCCTATAATATTGATACGGATCTCCTCAAAGGCATTTAGCCATAGTAATATTTTCTTTTCATATGTACTTACATCCAATAATTTAAATGCTCTAGTTGTAAGGTAAATTAAGCATGCCATATCCTCTTAAATTGTAAACGTTGATATATAAAATAAAATATTAATAATAATAATAATTTAGCTTTACTTGAGTTTCATTTTCGCCCGAAATCGTTCACTTTTACGGATAAGGTAAATTGTTACAATTGTCTTTTCTAAGCCTAAACAGTTCCACAAACCTCTCTTCCGAAATGCTGTAACTATCCGTAGATTATCTCATGGATGTGGGCTTTTTGCGAAGACTGGTCCTTAATCTTCCTTGCGAATATTACATATTTATATTTCCATTATTTATCACCATTGAAATGGAAACAAGTTTTGACAGCGGATTTGGCTGCACAGCGTCACTTGCGGCCGGGTAAAGTTTTAAATTTTTAGCGACAGGGAGGACAGAATCGCAATTTTTGGAGATCGCCAAATATTGGGATAAAGTTTTAGCTTTAACAGGTGTTGCTCGGACAGTAAAGTGAGTGGTAACACGTATGTATGTATGTACAAATATATGTCTGCTTAGCTTACCTCAATTGTTTGTCAATATTTTCCAATACACAAATAAACACTTGTGACATCTCACGATCGATACGAGAACTGGACTTTTTGTTAAATCTTTGCTTCCAGTATTTAATTTCGTCTTTTACTGATGTTATACCTATGAAAATAAAGCAAATGAATCGGTTAATAGCCATAGAGAATAAGTCAGCATTTTAACCAAATAGCAATTAAGTTTATAGTGATTAGTATATAGTGATTAATTACATAATAATTACCATACGTTCCGTTTTAGTCGGGGCTGCCCCGTTTTTGGCCTTCGTCCTGTTGTCCCTGAATATTACACCGTGCGACAGTCAATTTTACACACGAAAAAATCAATATATTCACAAAACTGGGGGCAAATATAGTAAAACTGCGCTTTTAGTTTTTCTCTCTGAAGTCAGGATTTTTTTTAAAAGGGCTTTAAAATTTGTAGAATATGATTGAATAAAAATATTATTCAAAAGATTCGGTGCATTGTAGAATAACAATATGGGTATCAATTAAAAGGAAAAATTCTGTAGAATAGAAAAAAATTTAATTTTAAAATATTTATTTTTGAAAAAA